ATCCCAGAAACATCCTTTCCCAGTGATCAACTGCGTCAGTCGGTATGAGAGGGTCCCGTGACGCCTCTCGAGCCAATCCTCCATACCGGGTCTTACCGCCGCGATGACGGCGTGCCCGGCGCTCGGTTGCCCGAGTCGTTCCCTCCACTCCCCTATGATGACCTGGCGGGTGTGCTTCCGGTCGATCTCGAGGTGCAGAGACGTGCAGCCATGTACTATTCAAGACAACAAAACATGGAATGCGATTTTTTGGACGCGCGGGATCGCGGTAAAATTACAAGATTGCTTCAACAGCAGCCCGATGTCTATAATGACCTCATAGACGAATGGCAACAACGCTGGGATGAATCATCCAAGGGGCGCCATCTTTACCAATTCTTTCCATCTGTTCGCGAACGGTTGTCGAGGACATGGCTTGCGGTGGATCACTGTGTCGCTCAATTTCTTACGGGTCATGGTAACTTTAAGAGCAAGCTTTATTCATTTAAATTAGTCGAGTCACCATTGTGTCAATGCTCAACACCTAACTCTCACTATGAACAGTCTGCTCATCATATCCTCTGGGAATTTAGTCTTTGGTATAATGAACGTAATATAATGCTGAATAGCTTGCAGGTGACATCTGGGGCGGTATACTATGGGGATCTTGTGTCAACTAGGGTGAATTTCCGTGCGTTTAGGCGATTCTGCCATACATATTATATAAATCAAACATAGCTCACGTAGGACCCGTAATATTTGTGGCCTTGGTGCTTCCCTGTTTAAAAGGGTGTATGCCCATTTTACTTCATTTTGTCTCCCGCTTTGCTAAGGAGGGAAGTGGATTTACTGTATTTCCAACTCCTCCAATTTTCTTCTGATTAATTTCGTTGCGGGTTCCAAAACAGTTTAATTTCTTCCTGGGACTTCCCGAGTGTCATAACTCGGTGTGTTCGTGGGTCACTGCTGTGGATCCTGGTGTACAGGAGTTACAGTGGTGGGCGTGTGGGTGGGATTAGTCCCAAAAAAAAAACACGCAGCGACAGCGGTAATGTTTCTTTCTATTCTACCTGTTATGCCTACATAAGTTGTCAGAGCTTTCACAGCTAATAGTGAATTTAAAAGATATAAATGGTTACTGTGGTTTATCCTTAGGAGATAGAGATACCAAGGCGGACTTTTTTGTAGATCTTTTTAAGATATACAAATCCATGGTACATTATTTTGGTCTATCTCGTAAGGTTTAACCAGCCTTTGCAATTTACTTTACTATAATACTCGGATTTTCTCCACTATAATATGCATGTATTATATTATACATATAAAGCTTCCTCTTCTAGTTTAAAAGATCTAAGCAAGTGAGTGCGTACTATAGCAAAAAAGTGTCGGAAAAAAGTCTTGTTACACATTTTTCGGTCTTGCTCCAATTCGCTCAGATCGTGTAACGCGCGATAAGGAAGACACAAAGAAAAGAAAGTTAAGGGTAATTTATCGCACTTGAGCGTCGAAGTTTAAGACCAAATTCAGGGATTCCCAAACTATTTTGGGCAGGAGACCCCTTTTCAAAAAGAACTGAGACCTCAGACCCCCATAGCAAATTACTTTAAAAATCTTATCTTAGTTTCTTTGCTATTGACACAAAATACTTACCAATTTAAAAAAATTGGTGAATTCAAAGTTTAACAAAATCAACATTTTTTAAATTTTAAAATCACATCAAAATTATCAATATAAATAGACATAACATTACGTACACAACTTACCTAGTGTCTCGAAAGTTTCATATAAGAACTTGTTTTAATAAAGTGGTCGATTTCGACCCCAAGAGATCAATATCGACTACTTTGGAAATCCCTGGTCTAGTGGTTAGGGACGTTTAAAAAATTGACTAACAGTAAACTTATCTTTTTGTAAACACAGCAGTTTTGTAAACAGTGTTTGTTGATTATAGTCGTCCTTGCGACGCGTCAGCGCTCACCTCCACTGTCTGCTGTGTTACCCTCTCTACTTAACTATATTTGTTACGAGCCTATCTTCTTGCCAATCCAATGTCTTTAAGCAGGTTATAGAGGGATTTATCTGGCATAACCCTCGCACCCACTTCCACGGCATACAACGCAACGACATAACCATTTTTAGTTACTTCGTTGGTTAAGTCAAAGTACCTGTTTCTTTTTAAAACGTGATCTTTACAATACATCTCGTTCGTTTCCCACGGCACCGTGAGTTCTACTAGTACTACACGCTTAATTGAATAGGCATGAAGAAATATGTCTGGTCTGGACGACGAGGCGCAGATATCCTCCGGTACTCTGTAATGATTTTTATAAGCGTCCACTAATAATGTCCAGTCACTAGCGGTATTTATAATTTAGTACGGCTTTTGTGAAGTCTTTTTTGTTGAGCCTTCCTTTACAAACGCGATGTTAGTTCTTATGTTTGTTGTTATTCGTTTTTTCGCTCTCGCCATCGATAAAATAACTTATAGCTTCGCGTTTGATTTGTAATACCCTATCATGGCGACGTGAAGAATGACGCCGGTCAGTAAGTGCCTGGCTGTACCTATTTCCGCACTGCACATCGCACAAGCCTTCTCTTTTTATGCAGCCGTTTTTACCTCATTTTTAACTTTATAACACATATTTTTTGTTTAAATTTTTTATCTTTCTACAAATCTACATCTTCTATATAAATAAATAAAATTGAAGTGTCTGTTTGTAATGTCAAATAAGTAGGTTTTTTTCATGCTCACACGGTTATTTACACAATACCTATGCCAAAAAAACAGTTTAAATATTTTTTGTCTGTCTGTCTACCTGGACATGAAAGCAGGCTGCGATGGTACGGTCTCATAAAGAGGAGCCTGACTACATTTGGCAACTTGACGTTATCGATCCCGGACGAAGATCCAGAAGCAGACCGAAGACATGGTGGAAGGGTGTAGTGCTGAGGGACATGAAAGACTGTCGGGTTTCCGAAGACGACATAGATAATAGTCGCTCCATTATCTATTGCGTACAGTAGATAGACGAGGAAAGCTGACCCCACCAGCATGAATAGCTTGGTAGAGAGAGAGCTAATATTTTCTAACCGACAGTAAAAAGAAGGAGGTATTTGAAGATAAAACACCACCTTCAAATATGTATGTAAATCCGTGTGGTGACGGATTAAGAATACAGAGTGTCACCTTACTTACCCTTACTCATCTCGAAACTACGACGAACAACAGCACTGCAAAGAGAAGAAAAACTTGACACAAACCCTATAACAACCCATCTGGCCAGCGTGGTATAGTAAGCCAGACCTCCTTTCTAAGGAGAGGTCACACTTTCAATATGAAATGGGATTTGATACTGACTGCACAGATACCGCCAGACCTCGCCGATTACTACTACGCTGGGTGTTGTCTTCCCCACACGGGACAACATTTTGTGTGATCCACAAATTGTTGTTCTGAGTCTGACTATTTTTTGTGTCCGTTTCATGTATGTTTGTAAAGTCCCCCGCGATACATGATATATTCCTAATGCGGGAGTTGTAAACAAAAAAAAATAGAATAAAATCGAATGGCATTTTAATTAAAAGAGTTTAGTAACCTTATTCCCTAGGTCAGTTACCTACAGCGATGATTAGAGTTGCCTTATAATACGTGGATATAAGGTTAATCTTTATCTTAACGTTATTTTTAACAATAACCACATCTCACACACGGTTGTCTGAACCCAAACTAGGCAAAGCCCCACTATGGTAACCAGACTGCTGATAAACATTTTAAATATTACAAATTCATGCACATTATAGAAAAAAATTACTGCGACACAGAACGAATGCTCGTGCTTATCACAAAAATATTTGTCCTGGGTGGGAATCGAACCCACGACATCTGGCTTAGCAGTCAATGTCACTAACCGATAGACCAACTACCTTGTCAATTGGACTAAGAGAGAGATTCACACTTCAGTCTCATCATCTTTCTGCCCTTGTCCCAATTTTGTTTAGGGTCGATGCTGACGCCGACCCTCTTAAGGAATGACAGTCATGCTTCAGTCTAATATCGATTACTTAAGAAAAGATTAAATAAAATTACAAATTCGAATTTCATTTTTTGACTGACTGACTGATCGTAACACCTTAAACTAATAAATGATCAGAATCAGAATATTACACTACTTTCATAAAAGCTTAAAGACTAAATTATTAACAGAAATATTAAATTGAGTAGGTGCCTATTATAACTTTTAAAGTCACTACTTACTAAGAATAAATCGTTTTCTATTACTTAACCTAACACAAAAGTAACCGATTTAACACTAGCAAGGTATGTAGTCATAGATGGCTAATTTTACTTGTCAGTCAGTCATGACTTCAAGTTATGGGCGCGTATATGACTATCGAATAAAAATAAAAATATGTTAATAATATATCAAATGTCGAATTATGCCAAGTGCGGATACAACTTTTAACTGGAATTGTTCCAGATAGATTCAGGTAATCCAGCCTAGGAGGGATCATGACCTTCATATCATATTATCATATCTGCTATTTGATCAATTATTATTGGTTTTAAGTACTAAGTGGTATTTCAATCATTTTTTATCTTTTTGAGCTCAATTTACTTTACTGCAGAGTCACAGTTCAGAAACCTTCAGATCTTATAACATATTGTTTGTATTTGCTGATGCCTGATGCGCACCCTAGTTGATACTTCAGTAGAGTAAAGAATATGCATTGAAGTTTCTTCTGCTCTATCTAGTGCTGTGCTTACGCTCGGTTTTAGGATGTATTCTGGAGTGACTGAATCGCTGAACCGAATTCAAGAGTTACCAGTACGGTGCCAGCCTTTGGCCGGGAGGACGCTCTTTTCTTGAAGGTTTGGAGGTCTTTTAGTATTTTCTTATCATAGCTTTCGAGTGTTTAAGACCTGTGAGTTTTTTACTGTGCATTGGGCGTTTGTGTTTCTGTAGGTTTGCTGTTTGGTGACACCGCAGAGTGGTTCCAATTTAACTTAACACTAAGATATTTTAAACTTTAGGTTGATTTACCAACAATTGGTTAGAACCATTGCAGTATGTAATTAGGTAGTAAGATCTGACAACGAAGAAGAAGAACAGATTCATCACTGAAACAGAACATTAAAGAATATTAAATAAATTATTTCGCCATTACGATAGTAAATAATAATAATTGTATGGGGATCAGTCTAACATCAGTATATCACAGACAGATCTCTCGTTCCTCATGATGAGATTCTCGTAAAAGTTGAAATTCAGTCGTTCTTCTTCTAACCAACCGATAATACAGAAATAGAACACATAATTATGAATCTAAAGAATGACATGCCCCATATCTAGATATAGGGCACTAACCAAGTCATAAAAAGTCAAGAATCATATAGTGAAACCTATTTAGATTAACCTTAAAGTTAAAAACTATTTGTCTCTGGAAAAAAACAGTTTGCAAGAGTTATACGAACATCAGAAATAAATACAAACCAGAAAAAAACACTATTTTCTAAATGCCTATGGTTACATTAAAAATGATTACTATAATAATAAAAAATAAACACTTACAAAAAGAAAGCATCAAAGAGAAAAAGCTTATCGTCTGTGGTTGAACAAAGATGTAGACGATAATCCTTAACGCCAGTAGTACTAAGTATACCACAACAGCAATACAGTATGCTTTAACGAACAGTCGTCGGTCCTGAAACAGAAAAAATAAAAAGCTGAATATGCTACAGCCAAATAGGTCAAAATAAATTAACCAAAAAGGTAAAATCTGGTTGCAGTCCACTGAGGGGATTAAAAAGAAAATGGCTGGCAGCGGATGGATGCGGTCTGCGCAAGGCCGAGATAGTTTGCGGTCCTTGGGGCAGGCCTTCATTCAGCAGTTAAAGGCGATAGCCTGATGATGATAAAAGTGGTAGGTTAGAATTATTTTACCAAAAAATATTAGTTAACAATAATCTTACTACAAATATCTGGAAAACAATTGTTTGAGAAGTATATTTAATCACTATAACATTAATGAAAAATCATATTTGACTGGTAAAAATTAAAATAGCTAACAATATTTGCAACCAGTTAAATGACGCAAATGCGCTTTTGACCGTAATTTCAGTCAATCGTACTCTAGACTCTGCTTATCGCTTCAGAGACACATGTATATTAGTTTATGTATGTCATCATCATCATCAACACCCTTTAACAGTCCACTGCTGCACATGCCTTAGAAAGGAGGTTTTGGCCTACTATACCACGCTGGCCAGACGGTTTGGTGTAGGGTTTGTATCAAGTTTTCCTTCTCTATGCAGTTCTGAAGTCCTGCGTAGTTTGCTCCCTTAGTCGGCTGTTACGTCAACCACAGGGTGAATAGGAGTAATGAAACTCAGTATTATTTATCCGTCACCACACGTATGTATGTAGGTATGTGTAACTTACTTTATATAATCCAAGAAGTAGAAGAACTGAAATAAATATGAGGAACAGAACCAGGAAGCCGACGAAGACCGTTGTTGCAGTGTCAGCATTTTTAACCATATTCGGTACTGAAGATGGTTTGAAGACCAATATAAAGAAGGCGCCTATCCAAAGGAACTAAAAAAACATTCATTTTTAATTAACATTAACTGTTTATATGAAGATATAGTAATAATATCTTCACACATCTCACATACGACAGTACCGTGGGAACTGTATCATGGCAAACAGACTGCTGATAAAAATACTTAAATATTTCTAAATGCATACATAAGTATTATAGAAAAATTACACCTAGGCACAGAACACAGAGGATTGTGTCTATCACACAATTACTTGTCATATATGGGAATCGCACCGGCGCAGTCAGGTTCAGTAATCACTATCGCAACAAGCCCGTCAGATAAATACAGCCCTATTATGTGACTATAATCCATTCGCGCTAAGAAAATAGTGACCATCTATCAAGCCACGCACTCTGACAATTCATGTTCCAAGCTATCAATATTTATTTTTTTAAAGCTAATGGACTATAGTGGCCTTTCCAATCATAGGACGGATATACGTGTAGGTGACTTAAGACTCGTCCGAGCTATTAGTCTTAAGAACGGTTTAGTACTTACTTCCAATCCGAATCTGTGAAAATACGGATCTAGAAATCTCGGACTGAATTCGGATATTACCTTTCGCACTACCTCTGATTTCTAAGCCGTGATTACGGATTCGTATATTGTTAACGCACTATTGCGATCTCTGTTTCTAATCCAAGCAATTCAAGGGTCACCTTTTAGTATACCTCATTTTACGTGGAGCCACAGGAGAGCAAAAGTCCCTTGGTCCCACTGGTCTCCCAAATCAGGCGTCAAAAGATGTCTAATATAGTTTTCAATTATACAAAAGGGTTATTACCAAATGCACATAACCAACGACGTAACTGCAGAATTTCTTCGCGATGAAGTTCACACAAGTGCCACCTGTCCTTGGATCTAAACTGCTCATTGCCATTTTGAATCTGAAATGTAATTAAAAAGATTTATATAAACGACTGTTTTACTAGTCAAGTTAAAAAAACGGCAATCCCCGTACAAAATTTTTTCATTAAAAATTTGTTTTTTTTACATGTGAGCTTAATTACGAAAACGGTAAGTAAAAAACTTTATAAAAATACCGTTCGCTCCACAAATAATCTTCTTCTGTTATGCCCTCATACTTCCGCGCGTGTTCAGAACATTCTTGCCCAGGAAATCAGAATGGCACCCAGTCGTCATTCATTCAAGTCGAAAGTAAGAGGTCTTCTTACTATGTGTATGTACGAAGCTTCATCATCATTGGATTAATAGCTAACATATAATATGAATTCTGTATATGGATGTATATGTTTCTAGGTATGCTTATATGTATGTGTGTGTAGGTATATGTATGTATGTAAGAAAGTTTCAATAAATATGAAAATCTATTAATCCCTTTTTCTATCCCCATGTTTTCGCGTATCTTTTCATGTGAAAGTATTTCTTAGTTAAGTCTTGTTATTGTTATTGAAACTTTTTATTCAAGTTCAGTGCACCTAATCACTCTACACCACCCCAAGGTAGACTGGCAGGGAATGCTTATGGCATTAAGTCCATCTTTGTACATTTTTTTTTGCATAAAGTTAAATAAATAAAAAAAATGGCTACAATTTATTGGTAACTTAGATTCATTTCGTTAGTAGGGGAGATTGGGTCACAGTGACTCGCGGGGGACAGTGGATAATTCAGTAAAACTCAATATGTGTTGCACTTGCATACACAAACAAACGCGTTGTTATTGCTCGTCCATGCCCCTCTCCTCCGCACTAGTCGCCGTCGCGGTAGCCATGCGGGTACACGCGCTGTCCACTCTGCTTAGTAGGTAAGTAACGAAACTATTTTTTCACGTGATTTTAAATTTTGGTTTATTTCTAGGGATAGAAGAAATATGAATGTTTGTATTTTGTCGTACGTTTGTTATTTCCTAAATTTATTGTAAATCATGTTGTTTTGTCATTGAGATAAGTAGTTTTTTTTTTGTTATATTGTTTTTTTCATAAAGTCCAATGGGTTACAGTGAATCATTTCGTTTTGGGTCACAGTGGACTGCTGATCCATTGTAACCCGTGAAGCTGAATTACATTCGTATTTTTTTGTAGGTAAAAATGCCTCGCAATCGGGTAAGGAAGACTCTTATCGGACTTCACACTGAAGAATTCTTCTGCAAATGTTAATAAGAAATTCCTGAGTCCATTCCAATTTCGAGGGCTACCTAAAGCAGGGCCACGTAAAGAGGGAAGAGCACTAAGACGTAAAGGTAAATCAATGATTGCAAATGACACACCTAATAAACATGAAATAGAAATAAGAGGAGAAGAAAAGAAACGCAAACAAATAAAGGCAATTGTAAAAACAAAGAAAAGAAAAACTTTACAAGATAGTTCCAGCGAAAGTGAAGATCAAATAAGTGTTTATTCTGAAGAAGAACCGATATTTGAAGATGATTATGAGTCGGTGGATCCCAACAATTTTCCTGCATCTAGAAGTTTGCCAAAGGAAGGCGATTTTATGATTGTTGAATTTCAAGTAAAAGAAAAACGAATTTATTATGTGGCAAAAGTTATTGGAAATCAGGAAAATGACACTGAGGTGTCTTTTCTAAGAAGATCAGATAAAATACCCAATAATTTTCACATGCCAAACATGCCGGATATTGCCACGGTTGCACTACCGGATATTAAGATGATTTTACCAAAACAAAGTTTTTCTGTTCTGGTAATAGAAAGAGAAAACAATATATGCACCACTTTGATATTGATTTTTCTTTATTAAATTTACGTTAATTTTAACAATTTCAAAGTAAACACGTTATTGATAAAAAAATTATCAAAATTTTAATTTTATGGTAAGGGAATTTTATGTTTGTTCTCAGAGCACAAAGTGATTATATTTTCGTTTATTCATAGCTTCACGTTAAATGATTACTATGGAAGTAAATGTTTTTGTTTTTATAATTAAAGACATAAGTGGATGAAGGTGATATGTCGCATTTTCAGATTTGGTCATTTTTTGCATATATGAAGGTGATATGTCGATACAAATGACTTCAGACCTTAAAATAGTCTTCAGACTTTTTTCTTTAAGACTATTTTAAGGTCGATACAAATGACTTCAGACCTTAAAATAGTCCAGACTTTTTTCTTTAAGACTATTTTAAGGTCTGAAGTCATTTGTATCGACCTATCTCTTTCATATACTCAAAAAATGTAAAAATCTGAAAATAGGACATATCACCTGCATCCACTTACGCCTTCAATCATAATTGTTGATTTGTTAACAATTTTCCAATTAAAATATTATATGGCAACTACACTGGAAGATTGTGTATTTAAAACTTAATATATGCAGTTGATTGAGTCCCAGAAAGGTCACCTATATTTAAGTTCATTAAAGTGACAGTTCATAACTTTTTACAAGACTGATTAGTTTTACGTAATAAAAGACTGTCAATGCGTAGAAATAAATGAGGATTAACATGAAAATTATTGTCTTTTACTGTATTTTTTGGAATAGATCCAGTGTACCCCAGTCGATTCATTGTCACCCATGCTTTGATCCAAAGTGACCCAACCCCGGGTCACAGTGGTTCATTTCCCATTTTTGTTTAAAGTGGTTATAACTCGCAAGTTTATGTAATTCACGGTACTAAATGCCATTTTCTTTAAAGATTAGATACCCACCTTATGATTTACTTTCAGAGATTTATCATTTGGCCATTATCTTCTGAGTAGCACCATTAAAAAAAAAAAATTATCCACTGTTACCCAATCTCCCCTACACCTTTATGCGTAATAATTTTCCTATTTTTTTTTCAATGGTAAAAACCTCTTCCTTTAAGATGTTTATAGAGTTTTATTAAACTACTGCAGACACTGACACTACATCTCAATTACTCACATCAAAAATATTTTGTTTTTATTATTTTTTTAAAAGTATATGGTTAGCATTATCCGCTTTCACTATATTTTCTGTGCAAATCCTACTAGAACTAATTTCATAAATAAAGATAATATTAACTTGTCAAACTAGTTCAACTTTTGTGAAATCAATATGGTGTAGGCAAAACCTATATTAACTTGTAATCAAAAGTACTTACTCAGACATTTTTAAGTTTTATCGTTTTATGAATGCTTGAAAATTGTTACTCTCCTGGCAGTATTATCAACAAATACAATCCTATTTAAGGTTCGCTTCCAGTACCTTCTGTACACGACTAGTCCTTGATGTCGATAGTAGTTTTGCAATATGCAATGTGCATGCACCGTACACTTAAACGGGACGTAAAGTAAGACGGAGATCGCAGTCCACTGTCTCGTTTTAACTAGGTAGCTAGTTCTGATTCATCTTTCTGTGTGCATTCTCGTTGCGAAATATATTCTATTTACTTTTACACAATAATTAGCAATTGTGTATCCATGATCTACATAACTTCTGGATGTTTTTGACGTAAATTGTAATTTTGGATGTTGTCTTTAGATCGCGTTTTGATCTTATATCATATATATAAAACAAACAAACCGACCAGCCTAATTTTGCTGGTGTGCGTACCATTCGAGCGTTTATACTCGTAGTGATAGCGAAAACACAACTAACACACGCAGCGACAGCGGTAATGTTTCTTTCTATTCTACCTGTTATGCCTACATAAGTTGTCAGTGCTCTCACAGCTCTGACTTTCTCCCCATGTCATTTACCTAAGGTTTTGCAATATCGATTCAATTTCCTGATAATAAAAACTACTTAGTAGATATTTATGGTTACCTGTTTTTTATTTTGAGACAGATAACATCCATTACGCTTTGACGAGACTACTTAATAAGCCCTGCTAAGAATACGTGGTACTTGATGTGTTATTTCTTTTGTCCAACTCAAAACTATAATTAGAATTAATACATAATTGCTAGCTTTTGGTCACGGATTCGTTCCCATCAATTGTTATGTCTCTATCTATAAAGAACTATAGAGTTAGATATTTCCCTTTGTCTCTGTTTAGCTGGGGACTATAAATAATAAAATACATATTTATATTGTCATAAAAACTTACTAAAAGAATGTAAAAGCCATATATTTTGACAAAGGTGTAGAGTTTGTAAAGTTAAGTTCCCTAACTTATTGTAAAATTGTAGAGTTAGGGCGTGTAGAGTTAGAAGCTTGAGCCCATATGAGAACTGAAAACTTTTTGACAGTGCAAACCCTATGGTCTCGTCTTGGCAACGTTTTACATGAAAATAATATGGTTATATATATTATATTCAATACTTATTTCAGTTACTAGGTATACAGAGTGTTTAGAACTGTGATATTATATCTTTTACACTATATTATGTTTTCGTTAAGAATTTATTGAGAATAGTTAAGTTATAGTTACTAGGTAAAGTTTTGATTTAATTAGTAAGATAAAGTCGTATTTTTTTTTTTAATTTAAATAATTCACTTTATTTTTCGCTCGTTAGTGTTTTTGGTAGGCAGTTTTTGTTTAATTGATTTTTTTTTATAAAACTGTTTATTTTTCCATTTTTTTTCCATTTAGCACGTATTGGAACTGGGCATAAGCTCCAGAGTTATGTTGAGACGCCATATTTCTGTAACCAAAGGGCCGTGTCCAAATATCACATCCAAATTTAAATAGCCTGCCCTTCGCCGTGATCAAATAGAATCAGTAACCTGCACGGATGGCGTAGTGGTTTAAGCGGTCGCCACGCCGCTTCCTACTACGCCGAGTGTTGTGGGTTCAAACCCCACATGGGACGACACTTTGTGTGTTCCACAAATTGTTGTTCTGAGTCTGGGTGTTATTTGTGTCCGTTTCATGTATGTTTGTAAAGTCCCCCGCGACACAGGATTTATTCCTAATGCGGGAGTTGTCTTTTTAAAGCGAAAAAGAAAAAAAAAAAAGAAAAAAGTAACCCGATTCAATTTTTATAAAATACTTGCTAT